GTGTGTTTAACGTCGTTATTTCTTGGCGTGCGCTTGTCACCTCTCAATTCTCTTAGCAACTCGTTCGTGCTGCCGGAGACTTCCTTTTCAAAGCTAACTTCAACGGACCATCGCGGAACCTAGAGCCTCCCTTCAACCATTCCTTCATCGGGACACTATCTCCCTACTTGATAGGATTCTACCTTACGTGAGTCTGGAACATTCCTTTTCTGGTTCTTTCAATCTGTACATTCCTTTTTGTTCGTAAACACAATTCCCCCATTCGTAGTTAGTGTTTTTTTTTGCAGATATTATTGTTTGTAGTTTCTAAGTCCACATTTACACTACAAGTGCGACCCCGTCGCTTCACCGTGTGTGCAAATCCATGAAGAAGAAGTCGTCATGAAGAAGTCGTCAGCAAACAGTGTGCATAATTCGCAGTCAGAGGAAGGGGATATAAGCAGTGAGTGGGCAATAAGTCTTTTGAAATCGGACCGTAAATTAATGAAAATATGCCGTAGCATTTTACCAGACTGAAATTCCAGCGGCAATACCAAAATAGCTCGCCGACCGTTTAGCCAACTGGCGTTCTGAGGTAACTGAGGGTACACATGTACCGAATATGTGCGATAAATCTGCTTTTATACATTTGCTTGTATAGGCAAATAGAAAACTTTTGAAATTTAAGTTTGCGAGGTGTAACATAGTGAATTGGTGCTATCTCGGATTAACCTAGGTTAAGATGCACCTCTTTGTGGAGACATTTCGCAAGACAGGGTATCACATCTTCCTGAGTCATGCTGGCGACCAGCAGATAATATTAAAATGCTATCGGTTTATGCCACTTTTGATCACGACTGGCAGTTTTTCTACATTTAGATTGGTCCCATTTCCGTTCCATATCCATAAAACCCTTCCTTGGGAACCATTTGTTAATCCTCTTCAGTACAAGCTCCAAGCGACTTGTCTCCGAATGGTATCTGATAATCGAACTTCGTTAACTCAAAACACTGTGAGGAATGCTTGACAGACTTGGGCATGCGTTAGTTTTTGCTGGGAGAAGATATGCGCGTCATCTGCCCCGTTCTTCTGGATCCGGTGGCAAGACAGAGGCTAGAGTTGGTCCGTCTGCGTGTGCTACACGCCGTCTGCGAAATGCGCCAGATATTCGTAAAACTACGGAGACGGCACATGTCTTATCTGAGTGCGAGTGCCATAGGGGCCCCACTCAGAAGGAGCTATTGCAATGTGATTTATCGTCCTGACTATCGGTGTAGTTATCCTTGCAGTTGGTGCCGTGGGACGAAGTCCCCAGAGCCGACCTCAGTCTCACACATAACAGTCTACTGTCCGAGCCTGGTGGGCGCAAGTAGCTGGCGCGACGTGAGGCCTGCTCCAAGACATGTTACCACATCCTGCACGTGTGACGTATGTTATAGGTTGCACGGACGTTCTGTTGCCGAGTTGACGTATGCCGTGTCCAGGTATGGTCGCCATGTTGGTCGAGCGCATCTCACACCTGGCGCGTTGTAGATGCCATGTCGCGTTCATAGTAACCATTTATGAGCACTCTTTATGGCCTCATTCGTCTGTGGAAATGTCTGACAGGAATTATTTGGTCTCGTTAACACGGATTTGAGTTCTTAACTTCTGTAAAGACCCGCAACATGAAGCGCCAGCAAACAAGGTAGTAATAAGGACCTTTAAAGGCGCCCATGACATCCGCGTGGAGCTGCATGCAACTTTCAGTTGCTGAATGAACTGTTACTGCCGTTGAGACTTCACCGTATTCAGCCGTAATGATGACCAATTATGAGTGTGAGATGTCAATTTTGGCCCCCATCTTGCCCGTGTAATAATCCCAGACACAGTAGATGTGCTCACTCGCGAAACATTAACCGAAATTCTAAAACACGTTTTCGACTCGAAAAGGTTACTTAGGTAGGGTTGTAATATTAATCACCATGCAGCAGCATCCCATGATAATTCAGTCACTGCAGGATGCCGACTTTTGAATAAACTGCTTTCCGGCCGCCTGCAAATCCACGCTGTAGAAATGACTACTTATGTAGTATGAATTTTTTTCTTGATATATTTGAATTCACAACGGCATCGAAAATCAACGAGGAAAATTCGAACTACATCAGTAGTCATTTTTCAGTCTGGTTTTTGCAGACGGCCGGAAAACAGTTTATTCAAAAGTCGGCATCCTGCAGTAACTGAATTATCATAGAATGTTGTTACATTGTGATTAATATTACAACCCTACTCAGTAACCTTTTCGGGTCGAAGACGTATTTCAGAATATTGGTTAACATTTTAAGCTAACACATCTACTGTATGTCATTTTTTGATTGGTAGTGCGTGGGAGACTTTCAGTCACGCCTTCATCAAGGATAGGGGTCACTGTTTGGCAAACTGAAAGTGTGACGCTGAACTTGCTAGGGACATTTCTTGCCTTACCGTAGTGTTTCTGCGATTGAGTGAACTACGTGACATCAAGTTAAGCTAGCTAATTCGGGAGTCTCATAATGACAACAGTTTGTACAAGTTCCTATTTATTTGGCGATTTATCCCACAAATAAAAGTGAACGTTGCCTTCCGGCACCAATCAGTCGAATAAGCTTGATGCTTAGAAGGTGACAAGGAAAGTGCTGAGTACTAAGGGATTGCACATTCCCAAAGAGCTCAACCTAGAAGTCCATTGAAGGCGTTGCACATCACCGAGTTTCGCGTGCCTATCCACCGCAAGTTTCCGTATTAAGGAGGATGGTGGCATCTTAGCGCTGGCGAGCTGCCTGTCCTGGTATAGCGTGCAGCGTGTCCCCTTGTCTTTAAGCAGGACGACAACTGCAGGCACGAATATAAAGTCCTAAATTACCTGATCGATCTTACAAGCAGCGGCCTAAGATTCTTCTCGATTAACTTTAAGTTGGAGGCCAGGAAATTTCCGTTTCAGTTATATCGCAGCGAGCCCTGGGGGTCATTGAGGTTTCGAATTTCCACCAGGGCATTCAAACAACGGTACAAGGAAGTTGTGCAGACCTTTTTTGCTAACACCACTATTTGTTTACACTTCCGGCGACAGACTTCCTTACAATTCTGAAAACTGATACAAAGCAAAGTGTGCTTCCATCCCTTGTCTAAAATGAGGCATTTTCAAAATAACACCAGTAACGCTGATGAACTTTTGCTTATTTAGGTTGTGAACTATGTGGCCGGTGATCGTCCAGTTCCTGCGTGTTAACCTGCCCTACATCGCCCTGCCCTTCGCTGCAATGGTTGGCTTCGTCGGTTTCAGCATGGAGTCTCGTCTGCGTAGCAGTGAACGCCTCTCCAGTGCCGACGCATTGCCCAAGAAAACTTTCAAGCAAGCTCGCCTTGAAAGACGCCTGGACGAAGGCGTAGAAGAGGTCCCAGATTGGGAGAAGGCCTCAAACACGCCCACCCTAGAATATCGCGCTTCCCCCATGTTCGACAAGAACAAGTAGGTATACACTACCACCATCCGTCCTTCAAGATCATACTGCACGTCGGAACCCAAACTCGCGTGCAGAACCTCATTCCCCTGCCTGTTCTCATCCTCTTACACACGCCAAAGAAAAAATCGCAGTCGCGGGTGCTACAAAACCGGTTTTTCCAACCCACTACCGCCCATGTAGTATGTTTGTATAATAATTTCATAGTTTTCAAATGGAAAGGGAGACATCGTTCGCATTCTAATGCTTCTTCAGTGAATTCGGGCTTTTACAGAAAAACTTCATGGTATATGCGTGTTGTTTGGCTAGGTTTATAATGGTAACACACGTTCGCTCTTTTCTATAAATCGGTTCTCACCGGTTACCCTTTTCTGGCTTAAGCCGTGGGTGTCTGGATGCTGGCCAGGGGTCGAGCAGCCTCCGCATGCTCGCGACTTTTTGTCGCAAGGCACATCCCCTGCCCGCTCGCCCTGATAGTTTGGCTAGCGAGTGGTTAGGTCCACAGCCGTTCCGTAGGGTGGGCACATCCGTGGCATGCTCGTGAAACTGTCGGTTATGAAGCGGACATGCGCTGCATTCTCCTCGATTCCTCCAAAAGCGAAAGAGCGCACTTTTAGACCGATAGCCAAGTTCGTATCTCAACCACTAGGACGAAAATGTCGTGGAGGTAAGAGGCACTAGTCCTCCAAAGCGAGTCCCCTCGGAGCCTGTTATCCAGACTTTTTTGTGGAAGACCATCGGAACTGAACATGTACCTAGAGCACTGTCAACGAGCAAACCTTCTCTGCCTCCTCCGCCACACGACATCTGTGGAAAGGTCTCGATAAACTGACTATTCACAGGAAAGCAACAAACACCACGCAGCGTAACCATCTGGTGGCCCGCAAACGAAATAGCGTGAGAATGCCTTTTAAACTAACCTGGAAGAAAAAGCACGGAAGGCCCGATGACTCCGCGACCAATTTATGCTAAATAGCTGTTCCAATGTGTTTGTATGTTCATGCCGCGTGTTTTCCCCGCGGAGGGCAAACAGAAGTAGCACCTAAAGTGTGGCATGCTCTGGCGCGCAGAAGCGACTAAGGCCGTGGGATAAAGGCACTGGGACTGCACGCCGGTCCAGAGCCATCATGCGCGGCCGGGCCATGGAGACCAAGGATCGATTGGTCATCAAGGAACATTCTGGGCTCTCGTATAGCATCCCGTGCCTAAACTGTCCTTGTAACTACGCAAGCCAGACCGAATGTCTGCTCGCATCGCGCATACACAAGCAAAAGCTGGTCGTGTTGCGAATTATCGCAAATGACCGTCTATACCTTTGAAGCGGATCATGAATTTAACTTCGCAACCGCCAAGGCAGTCGCCCACGCCCGGATCAAGAAAAACAGAGAACTGGTGAAGGCCCCTCGACTTCAGATGAGAACTCGAGTCAGTCAGTGTGTCGACTGGACGTCTACATACAGAGTCCTTCGTAGCTACCTCCACGCCTGCGTGACTGATCGTTGACTGGGGAACACTGCCCATAACTGCTATCTGTTCGGTTGCCGGCCTTATCTCCCCAATGACGGGCTCCATTGCTTTCATAGCGAAGGTGTTCAGAGATAGAACAAGAGGGCATAAGGGAAAAAAGAGGGTTTTGGGAAAAAGGCATTGCATAATGGTTACAGAATATCGAAAAATATACAAAATGCAAGCACATCTGATTGTCCAGAGTTCGGTTGAGTAGTGGTTTCGTGGTGCCGTCATCACTATCACCGTCTGTACTGGTCTCCCCTTGTCAGGCAAAACAAAACCGGGAGGGCTGAGGAGAAGGATGATGGGCTCAGACACGGACTACTGTCGCCGACAGCAGGGGGGGGATGGGGGTTAGCAGGAACAGTTGGAGTCGACTGGGTGGGGGCCGAGCAAACACAGATAAGAGTATAAAATCTGAAAATGAAATTGCGTCGAAGGAGGCGGGAGACCGGAGAAGTGCGCGATAAACTAAAATTGCGTCAGCAACATGAAAATATACATAGACGAGGTATGTGTATACTTATATAGAAGGTGTTTAGTAGAAAAACCACTGGGAGCGGGGAGGGGGTGCAGGGTCAGGTCCAAGGAGGGAGCCTGGGACAGTAAATGCGAGTTAGTAGCGGGAACCACAAATGCAGTTTCGTACACGAGTGCCAGCAGAGAAGAGAGGAGAGACTGCTAGGGTGGGTAGGCAGCGGGCGGCGCAAAGGCAGACGCTGGATGCTGCTGTTGTGTTTGCTGGTGTAGATGTTGGCCGCTTTGGGCCTGGGAAGAGGCGCCCTGCGAGGCAGCCAATGAGGCGGCACGGTAGTAGACGGCCTGTGCAAAGGATGGCAGTGAAGCCAGCATGCCTGGGCGCACGTCCACCGAGGGCATATTGTAACCCGCGGAAACTGAGGAGAGTTCAACCAGCGAGGCGGGAGCACTGCTATTGGCGGTGGTAGGCACAGATGAGAAGTTTGGAGGCTGAAAGGCGAGAGCTTGACTGCCAGAGGCGGCGGCGGCGGCAGCAGAGTATGACGCGGAGGAAGAGGAGGACGATGAAGGAAAGCCGGATGCTGGAGTAGTTGTCGCAGTCGTTACTGCTGTCATCGCCGACTGAGTCTCACCCGAATAGCAAGCAGCATTAGTAGCAGTTGCAGCTGTGCCGGCCGCACGGGATAGTTGCGTTTGCGGGAACATGAAATTTGGCCCAGCCTGCAAATAACAAACTTTGACTACACCAGAAGACCGCGTAAAAGCAAAGTGCATAGGTCGCTAGGACAACAAAGTAGGGACTCTACAGGTTTCTTGTCAATGGAGTCAGACCAACAAAAAAGACGACGTAACCCCCAAATAACACCATAACCCGAACGGTTAAAATGTTAGGACAAAAAATCGGAATCATAAGGGAAAGAGGTAAAGTATGGAAGCAACAGAATCTATTAAAATAAAGGGTTTCGGTTGAATAATCCCTTCAGACGATCTGGTAAAAAACTTTACTGAAAGGGCGGAACACATTTGAGAGGACTATTGAGGCTAACTTGGGGGTGATTTGGGAGCACCGTTGCTACCCTTCATTAACCTACGATTCACACTAATAGTTAATATACAAGCCATCGTAAGCAACAATATCCACCATCGTCACGAGGACGCGGTTGAATTTTGCACGTGAATTTATTTATTGTGATGCAGATTCGCACATCATCCGTTACATAGCATAATGGTGTCAAGATAACTACAGATAGGTGCGGGCATAGTGGCTGATAAAGTCTCCGCAGATACCAAAGGATGATCTTGGACCTCGCAGGCGTGAGGCCGCCATAGAAGTCGTGTCAAAAAGGAGTCTTTGCAGACCCATCCTGTCTTGCGTTGGAGCGACTTATCGGCTCTCAACCTTCCAAGCCGCTGCATCACATCATGAGGATTAAAAGCGCGTTTGCGTAGTCATACCACACCACAGTGTCTGTCCAAACAGACTGGGAATGCGGTTGCATACAGTATCTGATATTGCACGACCTCCTGTCTAACACCCACGTCGCACGTGAGATGCCTTATAAGTGCCATATTAGGCAATAGCCATTATGGTCATTACATTAAAGACTGATTTTACCCGTAAGCTGGCAACGTTTCAAGTCATGGCTATTGCCGACTCATGAGCTCTAGGCGCAACAAACCTATTACAGGGAGGAAAGTACTAAACGGCCATGAGAAAGGGTTCCTCGGTAGGCGTCTTACACTCTCTCCTGATGACTGGGGCTTAGGCATCCTTGTACCTACCCTCAAGAAGGGAGATAAGACGAGATGCGAGAACTACCGCGGCATAAGTCTCATCGACGTTGCTGCGAAGATCTTCGCTATTGTCCTACTCGGACGATTCCAGGCTGTGCGTGACTCAAGGACGAGGCCCAACCAAGCCGGATTTCGTGCTGGACGTGGATGCGCAGATCAGATATTCACACTGAGGCGCATTCTCGAATTTCGCCATAGCTACCAACAACCGACGGCCGTCTGCTTCGTTGACTTTGCCGCCGCGTTCGATTCCGTTCACCGTGAGTCCCTGTGGCGGATAATGGCGCTAGATGGTGTACCGGCCAAAATCATCGCCATGATCAAGGCCTACTATCGTTCCACTACTGCGAGAGTCCTGGTCCGTAACAATTTTTCCCAACCGTTCGGTATTCGGTCTAGCGTCCGACAGGGTTGTTTACTGTCACCCATACTGTTCAACTACGCTATTGACTGGATCCTCGGGAGGGCCCTACGCGACAGTGACGGTGTTGAATTTGCACCCGGACATCGACTGACTGATCTCGACTATGCCGATGATATCGCCTTACTTGCTTCAAGTTTTGGTGATCTGCAGTCTGTGGTGTCACGAGTGAACGAGGTCGCTAAATCAGTCGGTATGTCCATAAACGCTGGGAAGACCAAAGTATTCTCAAGCTGAATTCCTGACCAGGAGAAGGCACCCCTGGGGATTGATTGCTGTCAACTTGAAGAAGTGGACAGTTTTAAATACCTCGGGGCGCGGCTGCTGCCTAATGGACAGAGTAAGGACGACATTGTCTCCCAAATCGATGCTGCCCGCTGGGTTTTTTCAAACCTTCGGAAATGCCTGTGGAACCGACGTGACCTCTCCATCGCCACTAAGATTCGCGTGTACCGTGCATCTGTCCGGTCTGTCCTTCTCTACGGTTGTGAATGCTGGGCTTTGCGTGTGGCGGATGAGCGAAAACTGGAGGTATTTGACCACCACTGCTTGAGGATCATCCTTCGAGTGAAGTTCACCGACTTCGTCTCAAATGAGATAGTCCGCGCTCGCTGCGACAACATCGCGAGGATAACTCAGGCCATCCAAGAAAGACAACTGAGATGGTTCGGGCATGTTCTTCGTCGTCCACCTCAGGAGCTCAGTGTTACTGCCCTCGAGCCGGCACCGTTGCCCAATTGGAGGCGTCGAAGAGGGGGTCAGTTCAAAACCTGGCTCGACACTGTCCGTCAAGACATGGAGGTGGTTCTTGGACCTTCGGTATTCGGTCTCCGCCGTTGGCGAAGGGAATGGGTTGAACTGTCTAGATCTGCGGCCGCCGATCGTCACGCGTGGAGAGGTACAATTCGGGACATCATCGAGGCCGGCTAGATCAGGCATGATCGCAGCCGTATCAAGTACAAGTAAAAGTAAGTAAGTCTTACACTCTCTTGCCTTCCGCAATACGCCAGTGTCTGTCCGAGTGCGGTCTACTGCGCAATGACTGACGTGGCATGAGACCCCGTCTAACGATGACTGCGGTGACATAAGGCCCCGTCTAACGCGTGGCGATAATTCTACCGTCGTTGCTGACGATGTCCACCGTGCGCTCCATAGCCGGGTGAAACAGGGATGGTGACTTGAGCGTGAATTAGTTTGTAGTGATAGTAGACTCGCACTGCATTTGCCATACTCGCTCCACTGAGTCCGGTGTCATGACAGAGTCTTGCCTTCCGCAATACGCCGCTGTCTGTCCGAATCCGGTCTACTGCGTGTGAGATAAGGCCTACTGGCTGAGGTGGCATGACCGTCGTTGCCGACTATGTCCACCGTGTGCACCATAGCAAGGTGAAACGGAAATGGTGACTTGAGATTTGCGCTACATCTACCGCACTCTCTCCTCTCCCACCTAGAGCCGGTGTCAAGACCGATCAAGAAGACCGGAGACGGGGGAGGGCGTAGGCGGATGGCGCGGCTGAACGCACACTTAGGCGTACCGCTCCACGCCCCCTGGTCCACAGAGCGCTTGATCGGGATTTTAGCCAACAACAACAACGGGGGGTCCCAATGTAAGCGACGTCAGCCGGCAACGCATTCCGATAACGCCTGCCAGAACCCGATATGGCCCCCGTTTTGGTCCAGCGCATCTACTACGTGGCCCGTTTGGGAGGCACAACGTGTGGCACAGGCCCGTACACAAACACGGACTCATCGCAGTTCGAAAAGCGCGTACAATGGATCGAGGTGACACTCTGTCGGTTCCCGGCAATGCCATGAGAAAGCCCAGCCGAAGTGACGTCCCCACCTACTCAGAAAAGTACGCAGGTGGTGCAGCCAAACATGAAGACGCCGAAGGCCGGACGGCTAACGACGAAGCTGAGCAGTGTACTGGCTAAAATAGGTTGAGGTGCAGCCGAGAGAATTGAGCAGGAATAGGACAGACTTAAAATGAAACGTCAGGATCCCAAGTGATCATTATGAAAAGGATGAGGGGGATAAGGGCCGATTGTAGGTTACTCGATTAGGTGAGATGGGCAGGTAGGTAGTAGACAGACTTAGTCCCATAGGTCAAACGAAAATGAGAGTACAATCTGATCAGCGGCAAATGCAAGACTTTCGACTTCATCTAACTTCTGGGGTTGGCATTGAGTCAGTCAACAGACAAAGCTTAGGATTGAGTTCAATCAAGGTCTGTGTGCGCGGGAAGTATTGGCAGTCCCGACGCATTCCACCCATGGTTCGTGCGTTCGAATAACTAAATTAATTCCCCGATCGTTAATACAAGGTCGGTCAGCAACCTAATCAATCAACTGCGCCCTCCCCGCTCGTTTATTACGATTATTTGAGTCGTGCCAACCCCCGTCATCGAACCCACGGACAAGATTTGCGGATGAAGGCGTCAAGGGGCCATTTGAAGAAACTTAAGGGTATGACAAAATGTGACTGTGAACAAAGTCCTGTCATTACAGTCTACTGTTTGTGTGGATGAGCTAACTTCGCTAGAAGTTTGCCGTTAAGTGGCTGAATGAGAGGTAGTTATTCGCGGTGCGGTTAACACGTCGGATGGGTTATTTATGATCGGCCGTAAAAATAAACGTGGTTTAAGTATGACCAAACAAGATTCCTGGTTTGGTAATGAGAATATCTACCTCAGTGGCAGTTGCCAGAAAGTTCAAGAAGTGATGCAGTCTTATCCAAGCCCTATTGCTCAAAATGCATGGATGATTTTAAGGTTTATTAGTGAGAGCACCCTGGAACTTCTGGCCTTAAATACTCGGCGGTCAGTGGTCAAAACCGGATTGTTGGCTTGCATAGTGTGTTCTGGACTGGCATGGTTTGGGGACGGTATATTAAAGGCTCCAATGAGATCGTTGGAACTCAATGATCAAGAGATAGAGAAAACTGTCACAAAAGTTTCTACCAAGTTGGCCTTCGATGGTTAATGAAGTGCCTATTTCTAGGCCTGGACACTTATCCCGATAAGCAACGACTACGGCCAGTATTGCTTCAGCCGGGCTCAGAGCCCGTGGCAACGCAGACTAGGACGCCAGGTGCATTGCTGTCTCAGCAACCATTGTTAGTATCCCGTACCCAAAACTGAAGACTGTCGGGCCCAGAATCTCTTTCATGTCGGTCTAAATCCAGGAATTTTTCCAGTTAGCCACCGCGGCAGCAGCATCGATATAGTTCAGATTTATGAAGTAACAGGCTGAGTTCCCCAAATGCCTGAGTAAGTCACCACAGACAGCATCCTTCCGCTTCATCACTGGGTATGCCTTGACTGGTATTCGGGTTCTATCCCCGCCTATCAGCAGAAGCAGTGTACTCGAAATAATTTGGTATTAAGCACATCAATATTTTTGGACCTACTAGTTAACAGATGCCCGCTACCTGTCCCTAGGATTGTTCAGACTGAAGCTTCATATACAATAGTCTTTTTCCATCTGCTGGACCTGGTAGCAAGTCCATGCCGAGGGTGGGCTTCTACAACATGCAACCTACTAATAGTTTGCTTTAGGGCGTCGCATACACCAAAACAATGGGATACAAAAATCTCAATCTATGCGCCTATTTCTTATAAAACAAAATGCAACATCTGACGAATGCCACCTCAGATGCCTTAAAAGGAAAATGAGAGTAGACTTCAGGTAAAAGTACGATACCTGTTGCCACCAGTTAGCATAGTTGCTTGGTGAAAAAAGGCGTGCTGCCATGGCTGCCGAAAAGGCCGAGTACTGCTGTTGAGTTGTGCCAGTGGATTCAGGTACTTGTCTTGGCTGTTGCTGTTGAGCTTGTTGTTGTTGTTGTTGGGACTCTGATGGCCGAGCATGGCGCATCATAGCAGCGGCAGCATACTGTGACGGGAACTGGTAGGCGGCTGCTGCAGCAGCCTGGGAGGGGTTGTAAAGGTAGCCGCTTGTAGCAGCGTTGCCGCTGGATGAACCCCAGGGCATCTCCATTTGCGCCTGCTGGGCTTGTTGTTGTTGGTAGCGATTATAGAGAAGGAGATTGGCTGCATTCCAGCCGACGTGATCCGGTTGCTGCTGTTGTTGACTTGAATAGGAAAGGTCTGAGGACAACTTCTCTGCAGCAGATACCTTCCCTGTGTTGTTGGAGGCCTCGGAAACAGCAGCGGAACCGACATTGTTATTGGCCTGTCGCTTAGAGCGCTTACGCGATGAAGACGATGGGGTAGTTGTGTCTAAAACAAACGAAATGACAGAAATACTACGTCGTTTCGTACCGACTTTTGGTGCGCGACCGTCTTGCTCTGACTACAGGTCGCAGACAAAGTTAGGGAGTTAAGCACTAGTACCTAGAACAGTTGCACTTGAAAAAAAAACAAGGTGGCAGGAGCGAAAGCATTGTCAAGTTAAAACAATACGATGTACGATTGTTTTCTACCTTTATGTTTGATAAGTCCCCGCAACCAGAAGTTACTTATGATGGGCGCGCGAAAATAACTAGACTTAATTTCACATGGGACAGGACGGATGTGACAAATTACCAATCTTTACTGGAAAGTACTCTAACTCGCGACACTGCAATTCGCGTTGTGGCCTTCGGGATCTTACCTCGCCCCTAAGACTCGAAGCACAATATACAGCTGATGGAGAATCGCTTCCCAACGGGTAGTTTTGCAGGAGCCTGAAAGAGACACTACAGAGTTGGGAACAGTTAAAAAAGAACGACTATTTGCAGTCACGTGGTAAGGGGCCTAAACTAGACGACGAAGGCATAAATGCCCATGAAATTGTGATCCGCACCCCTCAACTCAGGCTGCGTGTCTCAGGAAGCATGTGTAACTAAAAAATATATCCGACACGACAAGAATTCTAGTACTGAGGCACAAGGACGAACAAGCAGGAAGGACGTCCTTAACCGCTATAAACAAAAGCCCGTTTCACGCAACAGATTCTTAAAAGACGTTCTTTTAAGTTGAACACGCTTGGTGTATTAGCACACTTTGCCATCGCGTCCAATATCAATCTCCTCGTCCAAAAATTACAAGTATGGTATTTAGTACTGTCAAAATAAACTCGCACGTAGTTGGCAAGGGACAACTAACCAGAATTTGTTGACTGACTGGTCTTTGTGGAGTTTTGAGAATCTGCACTCTTCATTTGGTGAGTTAGACGCAAATGGCGGTTGAGCAGAGAACGCATGAGAAAGACTTCATTGCAAGCGGGACATGGAAATGTAATATCGCGATTGTGATGTCGCGCGTGTTCCTGTAGCTTGTCTCTAAAATAAAGAAGATCCAGAAAACCCACTAACGATTGGCACTAACAGAAATAAGAATCGGCAAAAACTGCAGGGATTGTAGCGCTATGGGTTATCCAGTACCAGAACACGTGCAAATACTCGAATACTATGCACTCCGCAAAAGTATGAAATATGCTTATAAAGCATACTAGAACACTTATAATTCTACCTATATCCGGGTAACGACGTCATGCTCGGTAATGAGATGTGGCAGACCAGGTTATGACTGAATTCATTAAGTGAAACGGTATGCACGTCTATCCTGATATGAACTTGAACAAGACGCATATTCCCAAAAAGACAATATGCACCGGCCCCATAGTTCTGTGCCTTGTCGGTTAATAGCACCAAGAATGGATGAGTAATTTGAACGGGTACAGACAGATGCAACTAAAGGTGCAAGTTCGCCACTAAAAGCATAACTTCTGATCAGTTATCGTTGCGTTTTGGAAAGCTCTTCTTCCATTTTCCTTGGTGACAGCAGGTAAAATTAGCTAGCCTGCACTTTAGAAACGAGTGCAAGAGTGGGGCTATTGGAAAGGGCTCCCTGGTGGCATTTAGTCGCCCAGGGCTAGACATTTGTTAGCCCGTTTGACTTGCGGGTTAGTAACCTGACTAACTGGCAGTGCTCCAGCTGTGCGAGGAAAGGGGGCTTTCCTGATAAGTATCGGGATGACAGCCACAAGGGTTGCAGTTATTTCAGTAACTAGCTCTTCAGTGGGCGTAATTTGTCCTTGATAGATGCAGGATGCCCAGGAAGTATGTAAATGCTCCCCAGACTTTGCGACTTGAATAAAAGCAAATATACTTCCATTGACTCTGTGAATGGAAACCTACTCCTAGATCAGAATTATCCTTAAAAAGCCCAAAACAAAGTTCATATTCTGTCAAGTGCACTTACTTGCGGGCAAAAGCTTTTGAGCACACCTCACAAACAAACGGCCGTTCGTCACTGTGTATTGACCTGATATGCCGCCGAAGTTTATCTTCACGAACAAAGGCACGACCACATGTAGGGCAAATGTGTTTTGCGTCGGCATGTGCGACCTTGTGTTTTTGCAAAAGAGACCGCTAAAGACAAAAAGGAATTCAGAGGGTTGACGGTGGGCGGAAGCAGGTCGGCATAAGGTATGCGACACAAGACAGGAAAACATGCAATTGCTGAGAAGGCATAGATACCTCAGAAAACACTTTGTTGCATACATCACACGTATGGCCCTCCTGCTTTACTGTAGAAAAAACGGTGCCTCCTTCAGTGCATGCTTCACCGTTTGAGGATGTAAATGGGTTGGAGAGCGGCGATATCCGCTGGGACTCTGACACAAGTTGGGGACTACTGAATTGATTAGCAGGGCTGTTCTGTTGGATGCAATTTAAATTAGAGTAGGGGGAGCAAGTATCAGAAGCCGTTTGTCGGACAGATTGGAAAGACTGCGAGAAATCGCTGCAAGGTGACATATAGCCACTGCCCAAAACTTCCATTTTGTAACAGGCGGGCTTTCGCGGTTTATCTTAGACCGATTTAAACAACCGACGCTCTGTTCCAGGCCACGCATTAACGGGTGAGGACTAACTCTGCTTTTAAGCATTTAATCCTGTAATGCAAAACGAAATTTGCAGAAAACTAAGACTCTTAATTACCCATTTGCTATACCATTGGTTAAGCTGATTCGTTCAAACCCCTTAAAACAGTCCTGTGTGATTTTGAAAAGCTTTATATGAAGTCCTCTAACCAATAACGTATTCATAAAATTGCGGTCGAAAAGTATATGGGAGCCGTAGCGACCAAGTTCTAAAGAGTTATATTAGAGACAATCGTTCCTGTTTGTGTAAACATCAATGGAGACACCTGTATGCTACTAGCGTTTTCTAGATATGTAACTGCGTAATTAGATGACTTTTAGCTAGGTAATCGACACATCTTTTAACAGACAGCGCAATGACAAGGTGAAAAGGTGAAGAAGAAAATGAGATTTGAACGAGAGAACATAAAGTCATTTTGCCGATTTCAGACCGAAAACAGTAATGGCAGGAAGAGAAAAATGGGCAGCCCTATAGATCTCCACGCGCATCCCCGTATAGATCAAAGATGGACAAAAGCAAACACCGCGCCTCTTCAGCGAGCCGCTTGACGGGAAACGATATCAGAAGAAAATGACGAGATTAAACGCTGTTTGTGTGATTACCTCAAACCATTAAATATCTATCACATTTAAGTATCTACCAGAAAAAAGGTCAGTACGTCTTCCCCCGCTCCACCCCCTAGAAGACCTCGTTTTCTGACCTTTCGTCACACTCACATCGCTGGCTACCTACGTTTTCCACTTTTCTTCCTTTTGCTTAATGAACACAAGTGGCCGTGGCAAAATTCCAAATGTCCAGCGAGTTTTCACTCTAAGACACTTCCCTCGAACTAGATCCGGTACTCCTGCTGCCGAGAGGTGTTAGCTAACGAACACCGAACTTTTGTTGGTTGGAGGACTCGAATCTGGCTTTTATTGCTCTTTTTGTATTTCCTATGTCCTCAGTCTTTGCGTTTTGTTGCTCTCACACCGAAAGTTCGCTTTCCGGGTACGCGTAATTAGTCCAAGGATGATTCCACCGCCTGTCTTCTCTAAGGCCAAACGATCCCTCTGTCTTCCATTCAAGTATACCATCCTTTGGAGTGACGTAACACCAGATGTTAGGTCATCCACTGAATTATGTGTATTAAAATCTAAATCACTTAGGCACCCTACCCAGGGTAGCGTAAATGCATTATTCACCGTTTTCTTCACGAACACTCGAATGCTGAACTTTGTAAAGGGTCCTCCGGGGATTCAGCTGCAGATAATGCATGCCTTACTTGGTCAAGAGGAAAATATCACGCGCATTTTCGCAACCCCTTGCTTTTAAATGTCTAGTATCCCAATTGTTTCAATTCGCTCTTCAGCGACATTTTTCTCTGAACATAGCAGAATCTCCTCGACTTGAACCCTAGTGATCTGCTTCCGGTCGCCGCAGATCTCTCTGTTTTGTCACCAACGAAGAAGTATTATGGTCGCAACTTCGCGAATGTTGACTCTTTCCGTAAACTTCCATGTCACCTCCTCGCCTGGCCTTTAAGTGGACTGTGACGAATCGCGCTGGTCTCTCCAGTCTCTCCACCTTGACGGCTACTTCTGCTGTCATCCCAAAGGTATTACGCCCACATCTGCAGCAACTGACCTCATCCGGTTTAGAAATTCTACTTTTACGAGGAACCTTTCGAACCATTATATGCCCTTACCTGCATGGCAGCCCTATCCCACCGGCATATTTACCTTTCAATGAGCAACAGATTTTTTCTCCTTAGAAACCAATCAAATCACAGTTATTTATACCTTTTCAAAAAAATGAAGTTTTTTTATTTTTCGCTGGCAGTTTCTTATAGAAGGCTGCTTATTTGATGGATACAAACCGAGCACCATAAAATGCTTGAATATTTGCCCTCAACTTCCCTGGAAAATATATTTTTGCGAATTGTGATCTTAGCCTTATGGTTGTTAAATTAAGCCGAAACAGGCCCCCCCAAACGGGCCACGGGTTAGACGCACTGGACCAACCCGGGGCCACATCGGATTCTGGCAGGCGCTATCAGTGCGCAATAGCAAATTCCAACATGAATGGGGTGCGATGGCAGTCCCTGTTGTCGACGGCCTTCGCACAACTGGGATCACTCCCATGTCTTCTATTGTTTTGGCGGTAAAAATCCTGGTCCTTTGTTTGTGGACCAATGGGTGCGGAGTGGAGCGCTAAGGCGAGGATCCGTCCAAGCCATCCACCTGCGGCCTCCCTCGGCTCCGGTTTTCTTGACTCTGTCTCGACACCGAGCTCGGGTGGGGTAGGAGGAGACAGTATAGGTAGATGCAGCGCAAGTCTACTGGCACTATAAACCCCTGCGCAATTCACCGTCCCTGCCCCCACCTCTGCTGTCGGGCACACGGTGGACATCATCGAAATCGATGGTCGAACTGACGTGCCCTTATTCGACCAATCACAACCCTGACCAAGAGCTGGGACCAGAAAACTCAAATATGCACACAGGCGCACCTGTCGCAGTCGGTTCACCACTGCAGCCTACCTTTGCCACGCAAATGAAGGTTGTTTGCTTCGTGAAGCCAATATATCGGTGTGTGCCCATTCTTGTTTAAATATTTATTATACGCACTTCAAATTTTTGTATCCTTATTGGCACATATTGCAATACACGCAGCATCCGTTTTCGACTATTGGCAGCGCGTGTATTTATTTCACCGTCATTTGATGTCGACGGCCCATAAATCGCTCTTATGTGCATGGATCCTTACAAATCAAGCACGACAAATATTTGGCGACTAATTTCCAGCCACACTTCGCCGGATATAGCATCATCCGGCGGTAAGCATCAGTAACAAGGTCTAACTTGGCGGTTTTTTGAAATTAACCAAGAAACCCTTACTCTCAATTATAACCTGGTACTCGAGAGGACTTTGTCTTTCGTCAGTCTGCGCACTCTTTCAACTTTGCATTATTACCATTATTTTTTCCGTCGCTACTCGTATGTTAGTCACAACATCCCTCACGTATAACTACCTACTTCCCGCGTATACTGTTTTCTGCACCTTTATTATTGTCTACGCCACAAAAGTGGCGACCACGACTTACCAAATCGACCCACCATTCTGTTTAACATCACCAGACTGGCCGTTGATGCCTTATCCGTCAGTGTCTTTGTTTCAAGAACATGCCGAATTACTAGTGAACGCATGTATTACTGGTGGGTGGTTTTATTCTTTCTCTTCGATGTCATCGTGAACGTCAAGAATCTTCTGCACCTTAACATGGATGTTGACACTTACCCTCAGCTAAAGGAAACTGCACTTTACTGTTTGACGAAATCTGCCAGCCGGATACTGCGTAAGCTTTTATCCAACCCGAAGTTGGATCAAATCCTTTCCCAACTCATAAGTGGATATCCCACGAAGTCTTCTTAATTAAGTTGTCTATTATCATGCAACAGGTTATAGACATGCTGGACACCAGAACTCCACTATATAAACTTGCCAACCACAAAGATAGGATAAATAAATGCTGCCCTATTGGCCCATCTTGTTCTAATATCCAGCAGGCATCGAGTCCGAATAGCAAATCCTAAGGTTCAAGGCCCCAAAGTGCGTTCCAAGGTACACATTCCACAATCCGCCCCAACAATCATACAAAAACGCGAGGCAGTAACGACCGCTTTTGGCCAGTCGCGACGCAGTCGAATCTTCTGCATCACTGGCAGGCCGAGAGATATCCATTCTCCTATTGACATCGGTGCGGAGGTTGGTGACATCCCTACTCCTAGCTGTCATCGACGCAAGCTTTAGCGCTTTTCACTACAGGCTGCATACAGTTTCATTATCACATTTTTCGGACAGTGACCCTTCGCTCTATATCTGCTCAGGCAGCGTTTCCAATTAATTTTTATTCAGGCCGACATTCGATCGCCCATTACCGGGACTGGCTTCCTGTTACCTTTTGGTACTTCAGTTCATTTGAAGCATCTCAAATTCACCCACATCAGAATCCTGCATTTTGGAAATCCATATCTTCCAAAACAAACTTCCTGAGAACATATCATTGGATAGCGGCGGTTGAAGAGGTCAATCATGAAACCTTTCGGTCTGTTAGAATACGACTGCGTACCTTTCGCTTCGCGGAACGTAGCCCAGTTGTTTCCACATTTTTTCCAATTTGTCTGGCGAGGAGTTGAATAATACTAATAATAATAATAATAATAATAATAATAATAATAATAATAATAATAATAACAATAATAATCTTATTTAATGCCAATTTACAGGCATTGCCAGTGAAGCGTTAAACAAAAATCCAGCTAGCAGTGAAAAAAACTCCTGTATCGCCGACTGGAATTATGATGTTTCACCCTCCCCCTCCCCTACCCTCCCCCTCCCCTACCCTCCCCTCTCCAAACACAAGTTACAGCTTAATTGTCTATTTGCCCGTATCTTTTGCATTCATTACTTCAATAGCCATATAAATTTACAGGCCTGAAGAGAACTTATCGAAAGCAGACGTATGCTCGCCAAATTGCCTTTTGAATTTTACAATGGGAATTTCCGCAACTCTAAAACATTAAAAATATAGTTGATGGTGGTTTTTATGGTTTGGAGTATCCAGGGGAGAAGAAACTGCTGGCGGCAAACTTTCAAGCGTCAAGAAGGAAGGATTTGCACGGTATCAAATAATATCAATCGCCAATTTCATTCATGACGTTGGGGCTAGTCCAAACAAGCGTCAAGAAGGAAGGATTTGCACGGTATCAGATAATATCAATCGCCAATTTCTTTCATGACGTTGGGGCTAGTCCAAACAGAAGCGCCGAAGAACAGCTGTCGCTGTTGGCCAAATATATTTTCCCTGGTGAGACCGGCCATAGTGTTCAGAGACCACAAACACCATAGCTACGGTAGAGT